ATCATTCCTCGAATATTTAATAAAATGTCCATCTATGCGTATTTGACGTAGTGAAGGTGCACCACTCTAAATACACAAATCCCAAAACACACATACGCAAACATTAACATCCACTCCCGAGAATTCATAAAATGTATTATGTATTTGTTATTTATTATAAATCTATTTTAAAATGAACTTTATACATTATGCTGACAATTGTATTATAAGCAAAACTACGGATCTAGGAAACTAGGGAATAATCTACGAGTAGTATATTGATTCAGTTAAAAGCTTACACAAAAATTACATGAACGTGTTAATAACATTTACTTCATTATTCCGTTGCGAAAATCGTTTTTGTGATAAAGTTCATTTAATAATCTATTTGTGTTTACTATTGGGTACGGTGCACGAATTTAATTGGAATTAAATATTTATATTATGTTTTTTGCAAACGAAAATGCAAATGGACAATGTTAAAATAATATTATGTATAGTTTTTAACTCTAATAACTGCTTTCGATCCTTGTGGATTGATCGGAGGCCAACTTGTTGCGGTATCAGGTCAAAGTTTACAGGTGTGTAAGAGTGTCATCGGTTTTTCATGGTCTATAGCGTGATTCTACTTAGGTAGGTCTCATAATCTCAGAGACAAAATTTAGACAATAGTCCGATAGTGATCATACATTGTGTGTTTTTTTTTTTTTTTGTATGGTACATGAAGCAACAAAATACTGCAGCCAATAAGACGACTCAAAATTATACAAAAAATATACATAATTAATGCAATGGTGCACACTGGAGATTTTTAGGGTAGCAATTGCTACACCCGATTTTTTTGGTGCTAAAATGGATCCCTGGCTCAAAAATATCCATGTCATACTTCTACTACGTATAAAAATATTAAAAATAAACTATAGAATAATATAACCATTAGCCTATTAACTTATATAGAGGTAACTGACTAAATACCAATGAGTATTTTATCATCCATAACATCATAGATAATTGAAGATATTTTCCTATAACAGCAGTATATTAGAATATGCTTTATTATATTAATTTTTATTTAATTACAAAAGTTTATTACTGAGCACCAGTGGGCATAAATGTAATTTAAACCTTACAATAATTATAAATACATTGGTTATTGTTTAAATTGTATTTGTAGTATAAATATATTAAATATAATTATATTTAATAATTATCCAAGATCTAATATTTAATTTAATTACCTAATATTCAATTATTTAATATTAAGTTGAAGGTTAAATAAAAAAAATTAGATACCTCATTTAATATGTTATTTATAATATAGTTATAATTATTAACCAGTTTATAAAGTTATAATTGAGGGGGAATTGGGGGAAAATCCTCCATAGGGTCTGTTTTTGAAAATGAATCGGTGGATAGTTGGTATTTTTCCAAACAATATGCTACTCCTATTTTTTTTGAATTTGCGCCACTGAATTAACGACAAAACATATTTGTATTTATAAGATTTTCAATGGTCAATGTTACCAAAAATAGATAAAAATTACATAAATGGATTAAGTAGCAAAAAAAAAAAAAAAAATCATTAAATCAATTATATCATGCCGTAATTATATTATATTAACTTTTGATCTTGTAATTAAGTGATATTAACATAAGAGGACACAATATTTTAAATTAGAATCCGTTGGACAGTCATCCTATCCTAGCGAACAATTACAATTAATAGTTTGATAGTTGCAACATTACTCACTCTTACAATGTGTTTCCACAAAATAAGGTGTGTTACATATTTATTACGCCAAAATACCAAATTTAATTTATTCTGAAATCAATAATTATACAATGTACTATATTTTTTTTCGTCATACCTCTCTATTTATCCAATCATTTCCAATGTTATATCAGTTAACCATCATCCAACCAGCAATGGTTGTCACAGCAAATGTCACTCTTTAGTCAACTATTGTAAGTTGGTTATTAAGTTGTGGCCTGATTTTTTAATCTCAATCATCAGTCCGTGTTAGCTCTATGGTCAGTCCACCAGAACCGATTCGACTACAGAGCTTCCCCGTTATTTATCATTAATCTGTATCGTCCGATGCACCGTTTATAATTAACTTGTTTTCGTGCATTTGTAACGTTCATTGCTTTTTACTCCCAGTATGGAGTAAACTATAGGTTGCCTATCCGTTTAAAAGTAAGATACCCATTTTGTCAAACATGCCAAATTCTGTACATCGATTTTGTATTGACGATGCACGTAAAAATAAATATTTGACCCTCAGGTATTGGGAGAGAGTATTTATTAATATAAAATAACTAGATCAAAAAATGTATAAGTATTTATAGGTATTTCCGGTTACTCGTGTAAATAGAAATTCAGATCACGAAACATTACAGTTGACTAATGTGTATGAAACCATTAATCACCATATGCGGCATGTCAATAAATCAACGGTTGTAATTTATTTTAGTTAATGATTACTGATTGCGTATGGTAGTCAGCGTACCAACATAATGACTCTCACAAAGTGTATTAACCATTTAAGTTTATCGCTTTAAAAACGGAAAAAAAACAAATATAATCACAATCATAATATAGTTGTATGTAGGGTATTTATGCAGTCAAAAAATATACATGATACCAAACGCATAACAGAGATTTGTTTTTGTTAAAAATACATATAAATACTTCTCATTTTTATCATTTCTGTTCCTCCGAAAATGTGATTAGTAGTTAAACACAAGTAGAACATAATAAAGCAGTAGTAGGTAACACCGTTTACATTTATGAATTTATTGTTGAATAAAAAATATAGACGATATTCAAGAAGATAAAGAAAGAAAACTATTGCTAGGTATTAATATAATCGGTAAGAGATAATGTAATTTTTTATTTTAAAGTATTTATATTGGTGGTTTCTCATCTCATCTGTAGAAAAATCAAACTAAAAAATTAGAATTAAATATATGAATGATAAGGTGTAATGTACCTTTAACGAAAAATCTGTACACACCTTTGATATAATTATTTTATTTGTACAGCGTACAATAACGATTTACATTTTTTATAAAAACAAATGAGTGCAAATTTAGGTAGATAGGGTGAAAATAACGCGGGAAAAAATTGCAATATAATAATGGGATTTGTATAATTTAAACATCGATAACATAGTGACAACATAGTGTTTATAACAGTTACTATAATACAATTATACAGGGCCATCGTAAAGTTTAGTTGGAACTGGAACAACTTAAAGCATGGGGCCTATCTAGCGGCAAACCAAGGGAGGTTATGGGGTCTTGACCCACGCCAATAAATAAAATACAATTGGTTTCAATAAAATATTAGAAATTCACACATTTTATTTTAACTGCGTATTTAGAATACACATAATCAAAATTCAGAGATTCCACGTGATTTGTTGGAAAACTGCATAGCTTTAATTATAAGTATGTAATTTAATATCGGTTTCTTCATTGTACAAATTCTTACGTCTTGAGTTATTTAAATAGTTACAACCACAGAATGTACTTCAACAACAGTCAATATTCAATATTTTATATTGTTATGGGAGGAATACCATGGTTGATGTTATTGTTTAAATCTGTCGTTGTCGCGGCAGGTTCACGACGATACCGCGCTACATTATGGCACTAATAATCAACAATTTATTATTCTTAATAAAATATCTATTTTAATCAATGCGCGCCGCATTTTTAGGGATTATCATTAATTGTAATTTATAAGTACTTTTTGTGCAAACGCTATTACGTGAATAAAAAAAAAAAAAAAATTATTTGTAACTAATTTGTATAACTTAATTATTTGTAAAATATTAATAACAACGTACATACTTACTTTTTAATTTAGCCCTTGAAAGACATGGAAGTATTAGGGGAATACTCTATACTTACTTACGCGGATGACATCGTGGTAATGGGTAATACACGCATTGAGGTAACCACAAAAACTGACGATCTACTTAAAGCTGCCAAATATATGAGCCTTAAAGTTAACCAAGAAAAAACAAAATACATGGTCGTCAACAGAGAAAATGAGTTGGTAGCTGATCTAAATTTCGGGGAGTATACTTTTCAAGCGGTAAACGATTTCAAATACTTAGGTACCAACATAAATAAGAACAACAATATGCATAATGAAATAAAATTAAGAATCTCAGCAGTCAATAAAGGTTTTTTTGCATTAGTGAAACTATTTAAATCTAAACTCCCATCTAAAAGATCAACCTATACCTGAGCTACTTACGCCCAGTCCTTGCGTATGGTTGCGAAACGTGGTCGGTGACAAAAGGAGACAAAGAGAAACTGCTAATCTTCGAAAGGAAAATACTCCGCAGAATCTATGGTCCTATCTACGAAAATGGAGATTATCGAATAAGAACAAATGGGGAAATATACCAGCTATTCGAAAAACCAAATATAAAAGCATTCATTAGAAGCAAGAGACTCGAATGGGCTGGGTACTTATGGAAAGAGAATGGCATATGCAAGCAAGTTCTGACGGGCAAAATCAATGGTAGAAGACCCAGAGGCCGCCCCAGACATAGATGGATGGACACTATTAAGTCAGACCTAGCAAAGATCGCACCAGTAACAGAACTAGCAGGAAGTGAAAAGTGAAAATAGAGAGAAGTTGTGGAAGCAGCGAAGGCCCTGAATGGGCTATAAAAGCTAAAAAAAAAAAAAATAACAACGTACAACTTGAAACTTAGCTTGGTCTACCAAATTTAACAAAAAAAGCAATGGATGTTGTGACCACAAAAAGTTTGGGGCCTGGGGCAAAATAGTCCTAATGCCCCCCCCTCTCGACGGTTCTGCAATTATATAATAATATTTCTATAGGTTTCGAAGTGGTTATAATACCGGTACACGTAACCGATGGGTACTCGGGTTGATAATTCGTTTTTAAAATTTGGCGCTTATTCCATGACCTGAACCTGGCAGTACTATCATAAGATTCTTGTACCACTATCAGCGTTTTTGTAGGTTATGTAACAAAGGCAAGGCATCAGCAAAATCAATTATTTTAAAAAACTAACACAATATTACAAATTTTCACAAACGGACCACATAACTAGGTACAATTATTGCGTACAAACTCTTTTCTACTGATTATTTTCTAATAAAACAACGATCTCAGCACGCAACGGCATTTACATTTCCTGTACCGAGATTCCAATTGGTGGTCGGTTTTTCTATTGACCATGTCGGCTCAATGTGAGAAAGTAAACTCCACTAGTCAAGCATTCGAGTTTAGTTCAAAATTAAAGCTGCTGCGGTCCAACGACCAGGTCCGGGAACTACAGACCATACTTAGGGACAAGTAAGTTTGTGGTACCGTTACGAATGCATATGTAGAACTAAGCTTTCGTACGGTACACAGGAACACGAGTCGGACTGATTTCAAATTTTATGCTGACCGCTTAATTCGGCTGGTCATTGAGGAAAGCTTGAACCAGTTGCCATTTGATAGCTGTATGATAATGACACCGACCGGTAATTACTACAAAGGTACTAAATACCAACGAGGTAACTGTGGTGTGAGTATTGTTCGTAGTGGAGAAGCTATGGAACAGGTAATAAATTAACCATAATACTATTTGAGTATTGTTAATTCATTATTTTCTTGTTCTTAGGGGCTACGAGACTGTTGTCGATCAATACGCATTGGTAAAATATTGGTTGAATCTGACTCGGATACTCATGAAGCCCGCGTAGTATATGCAAAGTTTCCCCATGACATAGCCGATAGGAAAGTCCTGTTAATGTATCCAATTATGAGTAAATAATTTCTAAATTACCAATGAATTACACAATGTACATGATTTTAATCTATTTGTAGGTACAGGTAATACTGTTATTAAAGCAGTTAATGTGCTTAAGGAACACCGAGTCACAGAAGATAATATTATTCTATCAAACTTATTCACTACACCTATTGCTGCTCAAACTATTACCACAGCATTCCCATTGGTTTGTTTTAGTTATCAATTATAAATATTATTGCTAACCTTATATTTATGATATTATGTTTTGTATTTAGATGACTATATTAACATCAGAACTATATCATATTGCACCAAACCATTTTGGCCAAAAATATTTTGGTACAGACTAAGTATATTATGCAATACTTAATGTATAATTGATATTTGCACAAGATGTCCAGTAAGCATAATTTGTACCATGCAAATTGTAATGTGACTAATTGATATATACTAGAATAATATAACTTTATTTAAAGAAATGTTCAATCTGTCAATTTTAATCATAAGATTTGATTTACAATTTCTCTTACCCTTTTTTCAATAAAATTGGTTATTGTTATTTATTACTTTAATAATTAATTATTATTTTATTTTATGAACTTTTATATTTCGACTGAAATGTATTGAAACTGTTAATTTATTGTATATAATTTGAATAAATGATTTGATTTTAATGTTTTTTTTAATTTTTGAACAAAAATAATACATTTTTTAGTTGTTATTGTATTAAATATGGTACTGTAAAATATATAGTAAGTTGTGGTTGTAGTGGATATTTATCATTGAAACAACCTAATTTTAATAATTTGATTTATTATTCTGAATTTTTCACTTTATAATATTACAAAATTAAATAATTTTATTTAATTTTGAAATTATTATGTGTTAAACATATTAATTTATTAAGCTTAGTACATACTTAAAAATAAAATTATATGTTTATAATTCCCAATCTACTTTCTACTTATTTCTCGACTTGCATTTATAACTATACCAGGTAATCCTCAAAAAATTCTTAAAAGGCAATGGTATGACCTCATATTTATAAATATTTTTTAAAATAAAAATAATTGAAATATCTGATACATCTTGTTAAAGTATCTCTAATGAGAGATTCTTTTACTCTGTGTTCTTTGCATGTTTATATTATTTAATCTATTAAGTTTATTGTTCTAATTGTAACAGATTGCTTATAAATATATTTTTTATTAATTTGTAATTATGAAATTTGATTAAATTGATGTTGATCAAACTTTTTTTTTAGTTTCTCTTGGTTTGTTATAATAATTAATAACATTTTCAGTATTATACAGTATTTTTTATTTGTATTTCTTTGTAATTGAAATATTATCATTTTAAAACCATATTGAAAGGCAGTCAAACTTATATGTATAAAAAAAGATCCAAATATATATAGTATTTAAGAACCAATTTTTATTTATTTCAGATTTGTTATTTGACTTATAATTGTATAGTTATGTATATATCTATGCTTATGATAGTACAAAGTAATTATAATTTGTAAAAAAAAAAAAATAATTTAAAAATTCTGATATTTTATTATGACTTTACCTACAATTTTATTAAAGAAGATACTAATAAAAATAATTTTTAAATATTATACATCGTATAAAATTTTAGTACCTAACTAATATTAGCAATTCAAAAAAAATATAAGTAATTTATTATCCAATTGAAAATGAACCATTAATCATATATAAAACAATTACATTTTATTATATTTTAATTGATAATTACAGATTAAATAGTAAAATCAACTATGATCTACATCCTAAATCAGATTATTCTTTTTAAATCTTCTAAATTATTTTATAGAGTGTACCATTACAATGTAAAATTAAAATGTTCACTTTTTTTTATTAATATATTAAAGTTATTAATAGATGAATTATTGATAGATCTATAAGACATATAATGTAAAACCTAATAAATAATTAGTTATAATAATGTATTTACATATTACATACAATTTATTAAATGTTAATTAACATAGTTTTTTATGATTATTTTTAGTACTTAAAATAAGCCCAACTTATTGGTAGGCCTAGAATTAGCTTGAATTTATCCTCTAATTCAACATATCATTAATTTCAATATTTGATTATATATTTGGAGTACTTGTGAAAAACCTAAGATAAGTAAAAACAAAGTAACAAGTAAAAACAAGCTAAATACTACTTTATATTGATAAAAATTTCTATAATTTCAACATTAATACATTTTTGAGAAAGAATAAAATCTTTATTTTATCCTAATATTATATGGTTATAATACAATTTAATTTAAAATAAAAACTCTCCAGTTTTTTTTTTATATCTTTTTTATTTTTTTGATATTAGGTAAAGAAATAGTTTAAATGTTGACTAAAATAATGCTGAAGTATCACTATATTTTTCTTTTTTTTTTGTTAGTTTGATTTAATTTAATGATAACAATTTATTTGACTAGAAATATGGTTGAGATCCATTTGTTTAGCATGTTGTATTACAATCAAATTATGTAATAATATATGTGACTCGCTCTTATTCAATAATTTTCAAAAATGCTCATAAATTTCATAATAGTTTTAGTTATTTTTATGAAACCATTCAATTTTTTTTTTTATTACTATCCCCTTTAAATTTGAATTATTAAAAGTATACCTTAATATTATTTACATTGTATTATATTGAATTTTTACATTATTTTTATCTATAGTTGAATTGGTTTAAATAGTTAGGAAAACTATGTTAAATAATAAATGTCTATGTTTATATTCTTTTAGGATATTAGACTATTTGAAATTTTACATTAATAATTTTTAATAGAACCTGAAACCCAATACAATATTCTACTGTTCATAGAATGAAAATTTTGCATGTAAATGCTATATTGTCCGTCGTTTTTCAAGTAAAAAGATGATAATAATTTTATAAAAACTAAAATTTAAGTTAAAAGTTACTAAAAATAAAAATTCTTATCAGTTTTTGTTTCTTATAAATTACAAATTTACTTTTAAAATAATATTTTATATAAACCTATATAAGTGTATAGTTCTAAGTTTTATAACAATAATAAACATTTGGTTCTTTTCTCAATTCCATTTTATTTCTATATTTGTACACAAATACACTATCTCACCAAATAATGATTATTAATATTTTATTATTTAAAATTGATATTTAGCAAATAAGTAGGTACTTTGTAAATCAATATATTCTTCACTTTCTCAGTATTGAAAACTGAATAAATACGAAACAAAACATGAAAGTATTGAAAATAAAATAAACCTAGATTTGTTTTATAAACTATCTTATTTAAATTATATTCAATGAAAGTTAAGATATAGAATTTATTTGTTTTATTCATTACAATTACTTACCTAAGAAATATTGTGTTAATGGTATTAAAATTTAATTGAATTTGTTAACTGCTAAACATTCACTTTATATACTATGAATCTTATTTAGATAATTAAGTATCATATTAAACATCGTAATACTGTAACATTTATCACATTTATATTCATTTTGATTTGAACAAATTTACTATTGGTAAATGTTATGGTTAAAAAAATATTTAATTTTAAAATATTATATTTTTCTATAATTGAATGGATTTATTAAATATATTATTATTTTTTATTGAGTTATATACATTGGATATAATCAATTTTGTACATTCACTTGCAGTAATCACAATTCTTTTATAGTTTAACCCATCTTTTAGTTTGATCTTCCCCAAAATTTTAAAATTTTCTGATAAATTCTTATGGTTTTATATTTCATTCTATGAATTGCTTTCTTGTGAATATAAATTGGTTTTTATATAACAAATACCTTTTTTGTTCAAATTGTGTCATACAAACTTCAGTTGGTTGTAGTATACAGAGGCGGATTGGCTAAATATTTCGAAATTACCGTATGACCGGCCCACCATTCAATAATAATAATTTTCCATAAGTCTCCTTTGTTCATGGATTAAATGCTCGTAGAATTGTTTACATCATGTTTACACTGGGGTTTTATCGCAATCTTACAATTAAATATAATATATTTAAATAAATTATTTTTATAAAATAATTTTTAATCCAAGTACATCGGCACAGTGTTATAATACGACTACCGGCCCACCGGGAACTTTCCCGGTATCCCGGTGGGCCAATCCGCCGCTGGTAGTATTGTTAATTGACTGTATCAAATATACCTAGTCCTATATAACGCTCATATTATACGTTAAATATCTTACACAATAATGTAAAATATTGTAAAATTATTTTGATTATATATCAAACAAAGATTTACTTTGATACACTTTGTTTTGGATAGTTAACTAAAAAAGTTAACTACACTCATTTTCCTAATTATGTTTAATAATATAAAAAAAGATGTAATTTATGTGTTACTAGTGTGGTTCAATAGCTGGAACAAGTAGTTTGTTATAATATTGACTGGTATACTAATCAGTGCAGTGCTCGACTTGGCAAAATTAAATAAGGGGGACTCTATTTACTTTAAAAAAAAGAACGTCTCCAAAACTGGCTGAGTGTTATGATTATAGCGTAATAATAGTAGGGGGACGCTAAAATTTCTGAAAATTAGTTAAGGTATTCCGTCCCCCTGCGTCCCCCTTTAAGTCGAGCACTGATACTAATAAATGTCATTGAAATCATAAATTCTTCAACAAAATATTTACAAGACTGGGCATTATTATTATTATAATTTTTTTTTTTTTTTCAAAGAAAGGGCAAAGATGTATGTTTACATATTTTTGCTGGCATCCTTTGTACCTATATAATACAATTCACTTCTACGATTGTTGATAAAACACTTAAAACGATATCTCTCTTCCGTTATACTTTTATTATTTCATATGAATATGACGTGCTCCCACGCAATCCTTTTGACTTTCTTTTTTTTGTCCTCTTGTTAGCTGTAACTAAATTAGTCTTTTACTGTTATTCAGTATACATTTTGAAGGTTCTCTATGCCTACATTATACTTTCTTGAATTGTATGCAATAATTCCTAGTATATTAAAATTTATCGGTGACTAATGTGAACCTTATTATTTAAAAACTGCATGCGTGTATCTAGATTACGACTTGGCATCTATATCATATAAAGTAATATCCAAAGTTCGAATTTTATAGCGTTGAAAATTACTGAATAATGCACTATAATATGACTAAAATCTATTGCAATCTATGTGATATTACCAAAACTTCAAAAAAAGTTCTACAAATCTAAAATACTTCAAATATGCAATAAAAAAAAAAAAATAAATAAATAAAATAAAACTTTTGGAGTTTGGAGTTCTTGGTGTATAAAACAAATTTACATCTCCGAACATATAAAATCCGAAACCTGGTAGTATCTATGTTACAAATGTAATATGTAATTAATAGCTGTAATATTATAAAACTATTCCAATTAAAGCCTCTTGATTTTTTAGTATAATTATTTTCTAATCTTATTGATGTTATTGGGGTTGTTTTTCAATAAATATATGTTAAATTTTTATACCAACACCAATACTCGGTTGAACTTCC